CCATGTTACATCCATAAAAACATTCCACACACAGGAATTGAGAAACACACCCAAAAACACAATAATAAAACTGGGTCACTCACATCACACAGTGCTTCTCTCTGCCTCATCCCAGGGGTGTGTGAGTATAGCAGGTAACAGAGTAGAGTCGAGGCACAAGCGCGCCGTGCTGTTCAGCCGCTTCATCGCAGCTCTGTGAATGTGATACAGAGTTTTCTGATGTCCCACAGGGCTCCAGAGAGGAAATGGAGCACACAGAAGAAAAAAACTTAGAACTGTGCTTCAGCTGCACTGACTCACACAGTTCAGGCTCTGCAGATCTGCGGGCTACAGTCATGTAACAAACCTGCTTTATTTACACACAATTTAACAACCCTTTGCACGTGCAACATCCATTCATTTGTGCTGCAACTATCTGGTTGAATCTGGTCTTTTAAACATGTTTTGGTAACCTAAAACATCATCTTTTAATTCTTACAATGTCATTAAATTCAAGACCAAGTTCTCACGATGTAACTGATGCTATCCACCACATCTGCAAACCAACATATAATACTCCATACAATGATGGAAAATAGGTTGGCTGATGCAACAAGAAGCACTATTCACTTGACATGCTAAAAAATGGTATCATAGAGTCTGATACACATTGTGATAAATGTTTAATGAGAACAATCTCACACAGTGTGACGTGAACCTACAAGACTGCTGTTGACGCACAGAGTATAGAGACTCTACAGAAGCAAGAGCAGCATACATCTGTTAAGAATCATGAACGTTTCACTTGCATTTTTATATTTTTGGGTTATTCAGGGAGCCTGTGTGCTCGACATTTCTGCTAAAACCCTTTGTTTGTTGGTTTTATTTTTTTAAATCAATAGTAGAATACCCAAACATGATCTGAAAACATGATGGGAATAGAGAGCAACAGAATATATAAGGTCTTGAAAATATATCCTAAGTGGCTTTTGTGTTTGACTGTAAATGGTTTTATACACATTCTGTGAGAAATACCACATGCTGAATTGTTCTGCGTTATGTTTTATTACATTACATGTCATGTGTTAGACGCTTTTATCCAAAGAGACTAACATACATTCTGTACTGTGGGCAATCCCCACAGGAGCAATTTGGGGTGAAGTGTCTTGCCCAGGGACACAACGGCATTCTGACTGCAGTGGGACTCGAACTTGGTACCCCCTGATTCAAAGCACTCTATCCACTGAGCCACAGCCGCCGCCCTTTTATATTTGGAGATATGTCTCTGTAGCGAAAAAGAAACTGCATCGTTTTCATTTTTATTAACATTTTCATTTGATCAGCAGAGGTGGTCTATGCAAGTAATCCCATTTAATAAGTGCCGTGTTATTCGAAGACTCCTTGTCAGACATTCAATCATACAGTATCTTCAGGGGCCCTTTAGAAACTAGTCTTGATTTTGCTGGAATAAAAAACCAAAAAACTTAGGGCTCACCTTTCCACAACACTCCTTTTAACTTGGCACTTTTCTATCAGAAAGTCAAGCATGCAAACCATGGGCTGCCCTTCATTCTCATGTTTAGCTTATTTTCAAATCACAAAGCAGGGAAACATACAATATTGAAATATAGGGTTCTCATTGTGAAGAGTGTCTTTCTGTAGATCTAGACAATTGAGTTGGCATTTGTGGCTCGTCCAACTGTAAAAAACAAGCCCAACAAGACTTTAAGGTGACGTTGCCTCGTAACCAGTGGTGTAGTGGGGATTTTTTTACAGGGGGGACGCTATTTTAATCAGCTCCAAACAATGCCACACAAGTGCGCACGCGCGCAGTGCACTCACAAAACGGGCAGACAGGTCCACAGAAACTACCGGTATGTTTAATCCTACTTTAGTTACTGTACTGCAAAAAGCAGACGGCGCTGCGCTCAACACACACACAGACCCAAAACCATGGACAATTTATAGGCCTAAATTGCATAAGCTACAGTATTGCAACTAAGCAGACTCTCTCTCTCTCTCTCACTCTCTCACTCTCTCTCTTTCACTCTTTCTCTCTTTCTTAACGTTAGTGCTAGCATTATCCACATCTTTAGGCGGCTCTTCTGATGATGTACTAGTAGCAGCTTCACTTGTAGCTTCGGTGCTACTAGCCTCTTTCTTCTTATGAATTATATTCTTTTTAGAAAAAAGTCAAGTAAAAATGGTTTGCCTGCCATTACAGCATAGCATATACAATGAGCACAATAAGTAAATAATGTAATAATAAGAATCAGTCTTTCTAATGTTATATAAAAATAGACTCCACAGCTGCGTGTCTCCGTCAGCAGCAGCTGATCTCTGATCCCTCTCTCCTGTCCAATTAGACTTCACTTACGTTTATGTCCATATCAATCAAATCTAGCTGGAGGCTCCTGCTGGGTGCACTGTCCTGCGAGATACAGAGACCTGTCTCGAAACACTCGGTTGTTGTTGTTGGCGAAACACATCAGCAATGACACGGGGGTGAGCAGGGGAGGTGGGGAGAGGCGGGGCTAGGGCGTAAAGTATGAGGTGTGACTTGTGCCAATTAGGATAACTAAGCTAACTGAGCGGAGCACTGACGTGTCAACGTACGCCAGCGCCTCCATCAATTTTGAATGGGTTGACGAAGAATCATAGACTGTATATAGAGAGCCGCAGTGACGCGTCCTTAAACCCGGAAGTAAACTCCTTCCGGTTCCTTCGTCTAAAACGCAATGCAATTTCTCCATAGGATTTTGGAAAATAGCTCGAAATAAGATCTGTGGTTGACACATATTTAAGAGATGGATCACGTTTTGTTCAGCCGTTGGAAGATTTTCATGGGCGCCAACTGGCACTATG